GCCACCGCCGCGTGTAGAGCGGTGCCGCGGACGGACGGACGGACGGGAAAATAAACACATACTCCGTCACGAGGGCAAAAGCGAGGTTTTATTTTCAGCTACCACCACGCATTTCCCAATGAAACCCTGCAACCCCCGTCACGGAAAGCAGGCGTTGTCCTGCCCAGCAGCCTCTTTGCTGACCTCTTGCCAACAACGCTTCAACACCAAGCGTGACATAAGAAAGCCTCTCCAAATGGCCTTCACCCCACCAGCCCTTCCAGCACGTCACCGGCCCAGTGAGGGCTTGTGGTGCTCAGCAGCAACAACAGACCAAAGGTTTTCCCACTTTTATTGACAACACATTTAACCTTAACATACACGAGCTGATAAAATGCCAGAATCCATCTTCAAATGATTTTCCAGAACACTGGAAGACAGGCAATAAATAATACTTTAAATGAAGAACATGCCCTTTAATTGCTTTAACGCCTTCTCAGCTTACGTAAGACTACAACAGCCTTCAACAAGGGCAGAACACCTCTGCTAGAGACAGCATTCCACGTCACCAAACAAAAACGAGAAAGAATTTCAGCTCAGTCCAGCACTGCACGACGGTAAGCTCGGGCTGCCCTTGTGCGGGATGCACGCTTGCGATCCCAAGGGAAACACTTCCAGCAGCCGCAGCACAGCAGGGAGAGCTCACGGTGGAGCGACGGGAAATTGGTCAGCCTTTTAATCGTGAATTATGCCACGTGCAAATTCAGTGATTAAAAAAGTGACTGAAATCATGACAGTATGTTAACTACATAAAATATATATTCTAGAGAAGAACTGTAGCTACATAAAAAGCCTTTTTCTTTTTTCCTAGGGAGAGATCAATATTCATGGAATGAAAAAGTAATAAAGATTCAGTCTCTAGAAGACAGAACTACACAGTCTGTAGATCATCCAAATGCTGTTTAGGTACTTAACTTTATGCTGTAGTCAAACCACGCTGTTTCTGACTACTTTTTATTAAATGCTTCCAGTAAACGCAGGAGGTGTAAGAACAGATTGATGATGTCCAAGTAGAGATTGATTGCAGCCAGTATGTACTCTTCAGGGGATAATTTGTGCATCAGCAAATGAGTGTCATAAATAATAAATCCACAGAACAGAAGAGCTCCAGCAGCAGCAAACACCAACTCTACTGTCTCACTGTAGAAAAACAGCTGGAGCCAAATGAAACATGAAAAAAAAATTGTAAATTTAATTTTCTTTTTAATACTAAAATCCCTGCATAATGATATGCTACACTTAAAACAAGGATACAAACTGTCTTTTTACTGTTATGTATACACAAATACAATTATTACAACAACATTTCAATGTTCTTCTTTCATATAGTCTCCAGTCACACCATCTCCTTCACTGAGTAAAGGTGCCTCCACTTAAGAGAGAGGAAGCTCTGGTCTCCAGAATATTAACAACAGAAGACAAATTAAGAAAACAAAATACAACTGAAACCCAAATCTCCTTCCCATTCTCTCAATCAAGTAGTGGATCTTGACTGACAAATTCTGTCAATCAATGCAAATACCACTTTTACGTTAGCAAGAACAACACCCAAAAAAAATGTGAATTGCAAAAGAATGGTTAAAGGATCAGCAGCATGATCTACCACAGTAATGGATCTGGTTACGAATTTTCTTTCGTTAAGCTATATTGGGCTGTCCAAAACCATTTTGTTATACTAGAAGTTAGGAAAAGATTATGTTAAAGAATATCTTTTAACCTTGAACACAAAGTATCTTACCCTCAAGAAACCTGAGAAGATTAAAATCCATAAACAAGCGAACAGGCTGAAAAAAAAAATGTTAAACTGTGAGCAACAATATGTTTTCTTTTAAATTTTACTTAAAATTCCTTCCCTTCCTATAAAACTTCTTCATAATATATTTGGTATGTAAATATCCATAATTCTTAGATGCCAACTGTTCATTGGTATCAGCAGTAAAACTCAGTTTTATAAAGTTGTCAAAAATTATGTTCTAAATTTTTTTTTTATTAAATATTTGCAGCAGCTGCTTTCTGTCTCAGTGAAAAATCCAGGTAAACTATTTTTTTAGTGTAGTACTATGGTTTTAAGAATCATAATCACAGGAAAATAATTTCCTACCAAGAAAACAGAACTGCATAAAATTAGTAATTTAAATAACACCCTTACCATTCCCTTGAAGCGGGTTCTATTGACCTGCATTCATTATAGCTTAACAAAAAAGAAAAAAAGAAAAGTAAAGATCGTCAATATGACAACATACCCTGCTCCAAATCTGCTGAAGTCTCTCTTTGACTGCAAGGTATACGCAGTCAGTCCAAGAAATACAGCAGTAGTAAGAATAAAGGCTTGCAAGACGATGGACACATCATAGAAACTCACTATAAACAGAAGAAGTAAACTGTCATTTAAAGAACACTACACTATGAATTTGCTAAGTTACCTTTTGAGGAAACAGAAGTTTAAACTTTCACAGCCAGGAAAAGAAAAATCTTGACTGTGAACAAGAAAAAAGGTAAATTGTGCCTGAACTTGTTTTTGCAGTTCAAAATCATGATCGTAAGTCTTACGGACCCTTGCACTAGCTCAGTTTGACAGTTATAGCATAGTTGTAGCTTCTTAAATGGAGATAACAGATCTTCCCCACTCACAACAAAAAACTGAAAAAAAAAAAAGAAAGTATTTTTAAGCCTAGATACATGACATCTTAAGGAAAAAGCTATCTGAATTTTTCAGGATACTGAAACAAGAAAAGAAAAAATAAATTATGAGACAATCAGTCCTCTGTAAAGGCTCATAAAAGTTTTGGTTAGGGGGCAGTAAGGGAAAGATAACAGAAATGAATGGAACTTTTTTCTTCCCTCCTTCCTCCCTAATCTTTCCTTTCCCCAAATGACTCATCATCTTACTTTTTTTTTTTTTTTTTTTTTCCCCAGGACACAATAAACCATAATGAAGAGGTTTCAACTTATGCTGGAAGCTTTAATGCAAGGTGATACCGTCGCTTGTCCGCACCCGGCCCACCTGAGCCCCGACAGCAAAGTACAGAACTCTCCAAAGTCAAAGTGATTCCCGCGGAGGAAACTCAGGGGCAAGATAAGGTTATTTCACTTGCAGATTAGCTCTGTTGAGAGCTGCCTTACAGGAAAGAGCATTGCTAGCTGTACTGAAAGAACCGATGGCATAACTCACTTCTCACTCCTGGTCATACAGTTTCAGTTCTGGGTCACAACCTAGTTTTCTGCCTTGATTCCCTGTTTTTTTGCTAAACTCCTATCACTGCCATTAAATTTTCAAACAGGGAATTCATTACCAGTTTAGTCATATCTAGGAATCTCAGCTGGCAATTAGTACAACATACTGGATTCCTTTTCCAATTTCTTTAAGGCGTCAGACTAGAGGATGGATACCATTTACCTGTAATGGCAACTGTCAGTGCTTCCAGTAGGGTCTACAAAAGGCAAAAACAAAAAATCACAAGGACAAAAAAACCCCACAAAACACTTACACAGAGAATTAACGTGCCATGAGCCCCCTTCTGCTACAGAATCCCAGCATGCAATGTATTAGCTCTCTTGTTAAATCTTTGTATATGAAAATATGTTTAATTTCCAACAGGAAAATGGCAATGCTGTCTTACTGTGCTGGAAGTAGTTGTGTTACATAAAAACAATACAATATAAACTGAAAATGAATGAGACAGCCCCTACAGAAAAATGCCATTTAGATTTTCTACTCAAAGCACACAGCATTCTTATCACAATTCTTACAAACTATTCAACGGGCTATAAAACTTCCCTGAGCTGCTATTAGAAATGAACACTTTTCAGCTTTTTGCATACTTCTCAATATTTGAAATACTTTCATCCAGCACTCTTACTATCAGATTAGATAGCTAAGCATCTGCATCAGTTTCCTTTTCCCACTCGACCTTGTTTTGAAACAGCTACTTTAAAATCAAACATATTATGGATGTCTGGGCTGAAGGCTAGTATGGGCCCTGAGTTTTTCTAAAAGGTAATTCCAAATTAAGTCTCATTACAATAAAAGATGTGAAAAGTATCTATGGTATGAACCAAGAGGTCAGAAATAACAGAACATTTAACCCCTATTTTGTTTAAACCAATTTATCACACAGAGATTTGAATCCTTCTATTCCTACACAATATAATACTTCAACATACCACAAACTCCCACACCACATTTGGCCAAGCTATTACATCACTCCTTGTTACAGCTGGACTTGTTGCAAGTTTTAAAACAGTTTACTCTCCTGCCAGAGTTCTGAAGTCAGGAAGCATATAATTGCATTACAATTTAAGTAGTCTGTTTACTTACACAGCAAAGCTGTCTTCCTGTTGCACCACAAACACAGTTTAGGCAACTCCTAAAGCAACAAATTCCAATGGTGCTACTGTAACATCTTTTCAGAACACTTAGCCCTTATCTACAAATTTGCACCATCAGGCAGGAGACTGAAATTCTAGGAGAGCTCTGATTGACCTGCCTGTGTTGGAAACATGCTTAGAACTTAGCATCAAAAAGAAAACAAATAATGAAATAAACACATATGTCTGGTTTGCATTTGGGTCTCTGCTGGAGGTTGTCCATTAAACAAAAAAAGGCAACAAATGACTCCTCCTTTCCTACTGAAGCAGTTTCATAGAAAAATCACTGACAGCAACAGAACACTGAGAGCAGATAGATATATATATTTACACACATACAAAAAAAAGCTTGCTCAACCTGATTCCAAACTCTAACACTCTCCCTAAAAATACGCTGGAAGAAACCTGAAGTAGAGGCTATCTAGGAACAACCTGTGGACAGAATCTCCAAAAAGTAACTCAGGCCTTTGTATAGCCACCACTAGTCTGCTTCAAGGAGTTCATCACAATGAGAGGTATTCTAAAGACTATTAAAATTGAAGTTATATAAATACTTACAAATCCAAAAAGCAGGTATAGATTAACAGGATGCTGGTGTCTGTAGATGGTCAGTGACACGATTACAGCCAAAGATCCAAACCCAGATACCAAAAGCAAGGCAGGCCTGTATAGTTTCACACAAAAAAAAGTCATAAAAGTTAATATAAAGTATCTGGAAGACCAAAAAATAGTTTATACAAGACCAAGTTTTTAAGTGATCAGCTAGATAAAGATACTGCTCCATATATACAAAGTAAGCATAAAGCAAGTTTTACAATGAAACTGCTCTAAAACATACCACCACAGATAATCAGTTAAAAATAGTATAGTCACAATAAAGACAATTTTTTCATACTGAAGCTAAAGATTGCCCCGGAATCCATCACCAGGGTATGAACCCGTACAACGAGGAAAACTGATCTATACTAAACCAACAATACTAAAGTATATGTAATATTTTGCCTATTAAGGACTCCACATTCAGGCAACTGTTTTTTATAAGCACCTGAATGCAACAAACATTGGCACTAACTTCACCAACAAAAATCAGTACTGACCAGTAAGCATCGCTATAATTAACTCACTCAAGCAGCCCTCCCAGCAAAAACTAGACCAAAATCAAACACAAAATCACAACAGCTCTAAGTGAGCAGGATGATTTTAAATTAACAAATTTAAGCAGAAAACTGTAGTTTTACAACCTCTGTTCTATACACTATTGCTCATACAGAAACTTTCATATAGCGTTTGACGTTCCTTTTTTATTTGGGCTTTGAAGTGAAAGTAAAAGTAAAGTCTGCAAGCGCACTTGGGGGAAACAGAAACTGGACTCAGTGCTCTCCTCCTTTCCCCAGTTCTTTTCCCCTGCTTGTTCACCACAGTTTGGGTTTTGAGACCTCGTTTTTTCTCATGAAAATCTGAGAGGCAAAACGAAACAAGCCCACAGGAATTTTAGCAGACTAGTTTACAGAAAGAAAAACAAAAGGAGATGGGAGAGGGAGGGAGGGAGAGGAGGAAGACATGATTCAGCTTTTCGGAACAGGTATAAACAACAGCATTCCAAATAGATCTTAAAAGCAGATACTTTGACCGTAAAACAAGAAATGTCAATAACTGAGATGTTCTGCAACTGATGTATAGGTTTACATAGCATAAATATTAAAATAAGCACTATTAATAAAGTATTGATTAAAATAAACTTCAATTATAACAATAAAGTTTAGTAATAAACCAGTAAGAAAAATGTCAAAAAAGTTATTTCCTAATCAGGTTACAAAATTTCTATGACAGAATCAAAACACAGGGTATAAAAATGATAAGGAATACTGAAGTGTTCCAGAGCAACAAACTACATAAATTATACTTAACACACGATAAACAGCCTCATTTCATTGTGGTACTTACCTTTCATGAATAAATGCCTGCACTCCAGTAGAGTACAGAAAAACTGCAGATGTGACTGTGGTCAAAAGAACTTGAATGGAAAGAATGCTGTAGACTTTCCGTAGAAAAGCTAGAATAAGGAAAATATAAATGAAATCACTTTTGACTTACTCTCACAAAGTTCAACAGTAAATCAGATACAAGTTTTCTATTTGATAAGGAATCACTAGAAACTCTTTATTCAGTGAAAAAGTGCAAAGTGGTAAGAAGCCAATTTCCTTAGAAAACTGACACAGTATTCCAGCAAAATTACATTTATTCCTGGACATCATTATTTAAACAATCACATGATGACAAAAGAAGTACAAAAAACATATGCAAGGAATTTACCTCAGACTATTTTAAAAACTACATACACCTAATCTCACTAACGAATTACTAACAGTGTACCTTCTCTATCACGTTACTGATATCTAACGGACTTGAATGAAGAAAGATTAACTTGGAAGTTCTGCTGATGACAGAACCAGCCATAAGAGTTTAAAAAGGAAAAACTTTTACAGTAATATGTATTTGATTGAGCTTTTGTCATGTTAATTTATCATCATTTGCGACTTGCATTGTACTGAATGGCTATCTACAAACTGCTAGAGAAAATAAAAAATCCCAGAACCGGGCTAACAAGCTTCATAATTCCAGAATTATGAAGAGTGGAGAGTGGCTCAGGACATACAGATATGTCACACAGCAATCCTCTGTTCTGAATGGAAGGAGACCAAGCCCATTAGGCAAAATGCTCTGAAAGGAAGAATAAGCTTACAGGGAGAATCAATTCAATCTTTAATAGCACAGCCTAAACAAGTTTAAGAGCACATACTATGAGAAGCTGAGTTTCCTGCTTGCAGAAGGTGAAGTTAAATATACTTGTAACCTACGAGGGACTGGGGCCTACTTTACTGTAACAAACTGAACAAACCCCGAAGTAGCCTGCTAGCTAGCGTAGCCTTCTCCCCCTGTTATTAAATGCGTCAGCAATTTTGCTAACGGCAATATTGCTTTCCTATTTCCTGCAGTGTCCTCTATTTTCCAAACAAGATAAAACTGTTTTTATAGGAAGAGGTCTCCTGTTTATCAGAAATATCTAACAAAAAATTCACAGCACATAGCTGGTGTTATTCCAAGATGTATCTAATAACACTATTTCAGCAAGAATTACTGATCAGACACCTTCTACAAGAGTATTCAATGCATTTCAGACCTGCATGTTAACAGCAAAGCAGTATTTCATGGCCATCAATGTGACCTCACAGCATGCCAACGCTTAAGGGGAAGATACATTATTTTAACACCTCACAGAAGAAATCAAAATCCCTCAGCCTCCTGTTAAACTACTGCAACTATGGGCACCAATTTCAGCTTTCATACGTCTTATGCATCGTGTGCAGGCTTCAAAACGCGTCACTCTGGGGACAATCAGGTCTGGGTGCGTATGGGTTGGATCCGGCTGGTAAGCAGACCTGCCCCCCAGACACTGCCA